CTCCATCCTCACCTACCGCGGGGCGAGGTTCTGGGCCGGCGCGCCGAGTTGGCGGAGGGTGCAGAGAAGGGAGGCCGAGGCCGCTCACGGGATAAACTTGACTGTCCCCTTCCCCCGCAGTCGCTGCAGAGGGAGCGCCAGGCCGGGGCGGAGTGCGGGCTCGTGTGGCAAGTGAGCGCTGAGGTGAGTGCAGCACACCCCAGGCGGCGCGGTCCTCGCGCTCTCCTCCCTTCCCGGGGTGGCGTGTTCCGCGCCACATCTCCGCAGAGGCACCCCAGGCGCCCGAGGGGCGCCCACTCTCGATGGCGAGGAGAGAGATGGCCACTCGTTCGGGGGCTCCGGTGCGCACTGGTGCGCGACGGCAAATCGGGCCCTTGACCGGGGGAGCGGCCGGTGCGAAGGTCACGGCCTCAGCGCGCAGTGGACCTGAGTGCTGCCCCGAGAGCTGCCCTTAACCAGGGCTCCCCATCGGGTGCCCTGCGGGGAGGCGGCCGGGAGAGCCCCCAAAGATGCCTGTAGCTTTCCGCAGGTGAAACCGTGGAAGACGGTGTCGCGAAGTCACTATCACGCCGAGTGGGGACCCTCAGGCCGCGTCTTCTTGTTTAAAACATCCTTATGGTTTTGAATTTCAGGTCACGAAATGGATTCGCGTGAACCGGAGACACAGAAAACGGAAACGAAGGGAGAACGAGGAGGTGTTTGAAAAGGTAGGGGTCCCCAAGAGGGCACTGGTTGGAGTTAGTGATAAATTTCCACTTTTGCTCCTGCGGGTTGGTCACAAGTATAGAATACCACCATTCCTCAAAGTTTTGTTTTTTTTTTTAATTAAATTTACATGGGTAGTTCTATAGAGATACACTGATTGATAATGGTAATGATCATCAACATACTGTGCTTGCTGCATGAAGAATAACCAAGGAATGGAGATTTGTTAATGCATATTAGAGCAGTAGGACTTAATGGATTCCATTATTATATTAGACCAGAAATGATTAGTATTGCAGTGCTAAGGATCCTCAGAAAAAGAAAAAAGTGGTCTGAATAAATTGCCCACGGTACTAAGTTTCTGTATTTGGTTGTGATAGACACCATGACACATTCATGCACCTAGTCATCCCAGAAACAACAGGGAGATGGTGAAATAAATGTCTTACTTTTGGAACACTAAGAGGGATTTTATTTACTGTAAAAGAATGAGAAACTTGTTTTCCTAAATTCAGAGAATTTCAGTATGTTGCTCTGCAGAAGTTTGGACTACCTATTTCCCCATGAAATTGTATTTAGTTAAAATTTGATTTGTCGCTCTAGTAAATATTATGAAATAAGGTAAGTAAGTTGTTGTTTTGTAAGTGACTTTTATTGGAAACTCCTAAAAGGGAATAATATTTTTCTAGTGTTACAGCAGATAAGATTTTTGTTGCTTTGCTTAATTACATTTTACTGTTTTTTGATTCTTGATAGCACCAGGGGATTAAAATAGCAGTGTGTTGTTTTTCTGCTGCTAGAATGTATGATGAATCACTCCTGATTCTGAAGCCAAATTCTTGCTGATAGCATGGCTGCCAACTTCTGTGATGTGTTGCCTTAGTATGGGCATTGCAGTGTCCGAGAATGTGCACAAAGCACATAATAATGAAGGTGATACCAGAGTTTCAGGGTGCATTTAAGGATACCATAAGGCAAAAAATTGGAATAAGAACTGGCCCAGGAATATAGTTGTAGCTAGATGTTCAGTGTGTGAATAGTGGTATCCTCGCCCTTTTATTTTTAAAGAACAGGTGATATACAGCACTTCAGTTAAGCAGTAACAGAAAAACTTCATTCTGAACAGACTTGATTTTTTGGGCCATACTTCAGCATATTATGATAGATTGTGTTTCCTTATTTTTCATGGTTTAGGTGTTTTTAAAATGGTGGTGAGGTGATCAATAAGATCATAAAATACCCAAAAAAGGAAAAAGAATTAGGATTTAGTTGTTGTTACGTGCTGTCAAGTCGAGCCCGACTCATAGTGACCCCTCCTTGGGTTTCCAAGGCTATATCACTGCGGAAGTAGATTGCCCAACCTTCCTTCTGAGGAGTGGCTGGTGGGTTTGAATCACCAGCCTTCTGGTTAGCAGTCAAGTGCCTTAGGCACTATGCTACCAGAGCTCCTAGGGTTTGGTTGGCATTTCAAAAAGTTTTCTAGCTTTTTTTTTTTTTTTTTTAAATCAAACATAAGATTACCCCACCTCATGAGACATCGTGGATAAAAGAACAATTTTTTGTGGATTACTAGGCACCATCACCACCTTTATTCTGAACTAGAAGTAACCATGTTTGTGACACCCACAATCTGACCATCTAATGAGAATGGGAAGAGTGAGGGTGGGGAGGAGTTCACCTTCCAAAAGAAGGGAAGTTCTTCACCAGATTATTTCACTTTGATACAGGCTTTTGTCCTAGGAATCATGGATATGATGCATATATGAATTTTTTTTAGAAAATTTGGGCAGCAGTTTTAAAGAGAACATGAGAATGAAGTAGATTGGGACCAGTATTCAGAACTTCTTTTCCAGCAATGAAATTTATAGCTGACAAGCTTGGAGGGTGGAACTGGTAGGCAGCAAGAAGATGGGAAATTTAAGGGTCATGTCAGTGAATATTCGTCATTAGTCTCTTCAGTCAGTGTCAGATTACCCAATAAGCCAGGTAAGCATGGGCTTACTTGTGCTTGCTTACTAATCTGTAGTGAACAGTTTGACCACATTAAAGGTTCTGCTCCTGGGTATGGCTGTCATCTGTCTCTATCCCAACCACACAGCACCTTCCAAGAGAAAGCCTCTTCAAGTGTACAGTCCCTGACAGAATCAGAGTATCCAGCAGGCAAGGAAAGCATGGGCTTACTTGTGCTTACTTTCTAATCTGTAACGTGAACTGTTTCACATGTTTTTCACCACATTATGTGAAACAGTTTTCGCCACAGATTAATAAGTAAGCACAAGTAGCCCATGCTTATTTTGCTTATTGGATGCTCTGCCCCAGCAGTCTATTCCTTACTCTAAGCAGCACCATCTGATTCTTTTGCCCATTGTTTTGCCTCTGCCACACCTAGGAGAGAGGGTTTGGAGCTAGCTGAGGCACAGCATGTGAAGTTTTCAAGGGCAAGGTGTAAAGGAGTGAAATCCTTAACCAAGGACTTTAGAACAGTATTCTCAGAAGCACAGACGGTATCTTGAGGTTGGTCGTAGGTAGAGATGACTCCCTGTTGCCCAAGTGTCTGTTACAAAATATCCAGGGAGTTTTGTGTGGTTATTAGTATTCCATCAACAGAGGTCATATGTTAACCTTTTGCTAGGCTTTGAACCTGTTATTAGTGGGAATCTAGGTGGTTAACTTACTATTTTTGTCTATTAAACGGTTTTTCTAATGTCTGCCTCAGCCATACCACAAGTAGAAGCAATTTATTCAATCTTTCCTTTCTCAGGCATCAACCATTATTTTTCTACTATTCTAAAATAAAATACGATATTTTCTACTTTTATTCATTTTGGATTACTGTGAGAGAATGAAATGAATTTTAGTCGGTCATTTAGGTGTGTTGTTGTTGTTATGTGCCATCGAGTCGGACCTGACTCATAGCGACTCCTCCTTGGGTTTCTGAGGTGGTATCTCTATGGAAGTAGATTGCCCAACCTTCCTTCCGAGGAGTGGCTGGTGGGTTTGAACCGCCAGCCTTCTGGTTAGCAGTCAGGCACCTTAGACACCATGCTACCAGAGCTCCCGTTTTAAGTATAGTCCTTGCTTTTATTTGCCTGCTTTCTTTTCCTTGCCCTGTTCCTCCACCCCCTGCTGCCTTTATTCAGCCTCACCATACTGTACCCCCAAGTCTCTGTCTACATCTTTTGGCCTCTCTCAGGATTCACCATGGAGGAGTTAGCTTATCTTTTTTCTTCGGGAGGGTACTTTTACTGAATTGTGGAAAACAAAACCTTCTGCCCTCCTGAGAATGGAAAACAGCAGAGTGAAAGACCAGAATCTGAAAATGGGCATTGGGCAAGGAATTATACGTAAAGAATGTAATCTTACAGGAGATATTTGTTTTCCCCCTTAAAGGAAATCTCGAAGGTGCTTAAGTGGTAGGCACAGCCTGCTATAACTTGAAATACTAGTTGAGTTTTTCAGTGAACTCAGAAGAGGAAGCAAAACAAACTTACCCTGTGCTCTGCTGTGGGTTAAAATAACGAATAATGAAATCAAGTCCGTAGGGTGAGTGAAATGCACCACCCAGAGAAATCATTGGAAAGGCTCGGCTTTCCTCTCCCGGCCTTTTCCACTCTCTGCTCTGTCATCTGCCCCCAAGTCGCTGTACTGTTTTCTCGGCTATCTTAACAGCTTTCATTTCTTATCTTTCTGAGGATGTGTAATTCTCCATGAATCTTCTCATACAGTCTCTGACACTTACTACTGTTTTTTTTTAAATAATAATTTATTGTGTTTTCAGTGAAAGTTTACACAGCAAGTTAGGTTCCCATTTAACCATTACTACACACATTGTTCAAAGACATTGGTTACATCTTGACGATGTTTTAACATTTTCTTTAATTCCCTTTTGGATGTTTAGCTTTGACACTTATTTCCATTTTATTTGATCTTTATATTTTAGCCCTCTTTTCACTGGTAAAGCAGAACTCTTCTATACCTTCTTTTTTTTGCTTTATTTTCTTCATTTTAAACTAGGTATTTTTTTCTTTATCTTCTGAGATTCTCCCTTTTTAATTGTTTCAAGGTATTTTTTACTTCAAATAATTTTTGCAGCGGAAGAGCAGGGGTAACATGAACAACTACACAAAGAACACTTAGGAGGAATGGATCAGTAAGCTCTGCAAGGAGTAGACTGAACAATGTGATTATGGTTTTCTTGAATCATGTTAAGAGATTTTACTAAATGGCTATTGGTTTGGGAAGAAAGACACAATTATTTTTCTTTTTTTCCTGCTTTTATCTTTAATTAATTCAAAGGTAAACAAATTGTGCATCACAAAGATAAAGACTGATAGAAACTTTTCTGAGTTCTAATGATACTTTTATCAGCATTCTAAGGATTATAGTATATTGTAAAATAATATTTTATGGAGTAGTAGATTTGGGGAAAATAAGAAAATGAGGTATGACTTCTTTGTAAGAAAATAATTTCATTTTCAGATTCAAAAGAAACATTCTTAGTTTAGGTATATCTGATAACATGCAGAGAACAAACTTTAAAATACTGATTTCTGATCACTGTAAGTATATATGATAGAAGTATTCTTTGGCTAGCCTTAAAAACATTGAAAATCCCATAGTGCTAAAGTTGTCTGATACTAACAAGAGATCCTTTATGTGCATGGTTTGTTCCAAGTGAGCGGTCTGGGTAAGGATGAAGTGGCCTGGCCTCTGTTACAATTAGTCACAACGAACAGGAGGTGCCGATGGTTTCCAACAGCAGTACTCTTTAAGGTTGACTTTATTTATTTTTTTTTGTCAGAGCTCTTTAGCATAAAATTTATGGAAAATTTCCTTGAAATATCAAGAGGGAAACAAAGAAATCTAGAAAAGTAGTCATGAAAGTGTATACTTTATAGTATTTAGTTGGGAATTGACTCAATGGCAGTGACTTTGGTTTGATTTATTTTAATTGGAATTGGAAAGGAGCTCTTGGTAATGCAGTGGTTAAGTGCTCGGCTGC